CTGGGTGACAGCAGCAAGTGGGTCACTGAGCAGTACGCAGGAGCTGGCTTGCCCCTTCCGGAATGAGCCAGCCAGGTTTATGGCTTTATAGCCTCAGCTTGCCTACCCTAATCACTTGCTGAGGTCATCTTGAGGACAAGGCCACCTGAGGATACGAAGGAAGGTTATAGATGGTCATTGCCACCTACAGGAGAGCAGTGTCAACATTAGCACCTAAGCTGCTAGCCTCAGGCAGGGGTTCGAAGGGGCCTCAGAGACCCTGCAGAGACCCTGGCCCCCCACCCCCCACCCCCCGGCCTGGCCTGGCTCCAGGTTGCTCATGGTTCTGAAGAGATTAGACTTCATGTGGGAGGCTGGGAGAAGGCACTAACTTTGTGGGAGGGGGATAGCCTGTTCCACTTTCTTCCTATTTTCCCTTCCTAGGTTCATGGATCAGCACCCGGAGATGGATTTTTCCAAGGCCAAATTCAACTAGCCTGTTTGCCTCCCTGAACTCTTGGGGCTGAGCCCCCAGCTATCCATCTCCTTTCCCACCCTTCCCTGGGACTTGAGGGCCTCAGAGCTGAGGCAGGCATGAGACTGGCCCAGGTACACAGGCCCCTGGGCATACTGGGGGAAGGGCTGGGGCCTTGGTTGGGGGGGTCTTGTCCTCCCAGTTGGCCTACTGTTACACATTAAAGCTATTTACCCATTCTACCTGTGTCCTCTCTTCTTCTAGCGTTTCCCTGGGGGACAGGCGTCTTATGGCTGCTTCAGAGAGCTGGGGGCGTGCCTGCTGATTTTTCCCATGTGACCTAGGGCAAGTCCTTGCCCCTCTTTGGGGCTCAGTTTCTCATTACTTAAAGGGAAGATTGAAACAAGACATTTAGTTTATGTATGATTCTGAACAAAGGTGAGTTTTTCTGGCTATAGGGACCAGAACATACGTCTGATTCTCAGAGGGACCCATGACTCAGCAGAGTTTAAGACCAGCTGGACATGATTCCATTTTCATCACTTCCCACTGCAGTGGGTCTGTCCTGCCCTTGATCAAGTGTTTTGGAAATTACACACAGCTTCCCAGGGGCAGAGAGAAGCAAAGGCTGGGGGGACCGTCCTGCGCTCACATCTGTGCTGTGTGGTACAGGGGCCTGGCCCAGAGGGCAGGGTCAAGTCCAGTGGGCCTCTATTGTTTGTTTCTGGCCTGGACGTCTGCAGGTTTCAGGACTTCTCTGAGTTAGCTAGGGCAGTGCCAGAGCGGGAGAGGTACTCGCCTCTGCCCCAATCCAGTTCCCAGAGCTGACCCTGCTCCATCCCCTTTGGCCAGAGAGTGGAGGTCACTGAGTGCAGGGGGCCACCGAGCTATGGTTACAGCAGTGTCTAGGTTGACTTGTCCAGAGTGCTTTGCTCTGTGGGCCGAGGGGTTGACCCCTGGATTTCTGGAACATAGCATATCCTTTTGGCATTTCAGAATAGCTTGTTAAAGACTTAACGAGGCTGTGCAGTTCCTAGTTTTGTCTGTTTTCCAAACTTGATAAACCATCTTTTCTGGGAATGCCAGTAGTTGTTACCAAGGCTGGTGCTTTAGGGCCAGGGCTAGGGTGGAGGGACTGTGGCATCACCTACTCTGTTCCGTGATATCCCCAGACTCCATGGCCCATGGTCATTGTCAATCTTGAATAGGCCTTGAGCTGGATGAGACAGCAGGGCTTAGGGAATGGGGCCAGTTTTATCACTCACACAAGACCCAATAGGAAATCAGACAAGTACAGTTTTGTCTAATTGTCACTTTCCAAAGAGTGCCCATGAGGACAATAACAGGGCTGTGGGGGCTGCAGGTGAGGTGGGGGCGGGCAGCGGGGGTCCTGGACACCTTCCAATTTGTTCATCAGTCAGCTGGGCTGGTGGTCTTGCTCTGGCCTCACTGCTGAGACACTGCTGTCTGAATAGCTAAGTAGGATCCTTCTGAACCCAGCTGGTCTCCCTCCAAACAAGGGACCCTATTTCGGTCCCAAGCAGGTAAGCTTGTCAGCTTGGGGCCAAATTGCCAAGGCCAGCTTCTAGGTCTAGATCCACAGTTACTAGCTGTGTGACCCACTAAGTTCCTTGAGGCCTCTGTGAGAGAATGACTCCACGCGAGGGTTGTTGGGATGGCCAAGAATGTAACTGAACCCTATTGTGTTAACACCAGGGACAGGTGGAGGGAACAACAGGTCGGGCTGGGGTGGGGACTGACAAATGATCCAGGATTTGGGAAAACTGCAGGGATAGCCAGAAGCTCACCGGCCTATAGGCAGTGAATCCGGAGTCCAGACAGCCAGACTATGACCTCTCCAAATGACAGAAACCACGTGTGACACCTTTCTCAGGTACACTGTGCTGGGCTCTTCATCATCTAGAACTCACAGTGAACCTGAGGGGTGGGCATTATCACGCCCATTTTAGCTTTCTGACTTAGACCCTGCAACACTAGGCTAGACTGGATGCTCTATCCTGCATCCTGCTCTGGGCAGCAGTCTAGCAAACGGGACAGAAAGGACAGTATCACAGTCAAGATAAGACAGACGACTTTATTTCTTACGTGCTTGCAACTATAGTCATGTTAGCATGTGGACAAATGAAGAGGCAACCTGTGCAACAGATTATGACATGGAGTAGGCACTGCCCACAAAATTCCAGAGGCCCTCCTGCCCCCAACCCAATCCATATAAGAGAAGCTTCTTTTAGTGATCACCCCCTAGCCCCCATGGGGGAGGCGGAAGTCTGCATGATGGGTTTGGGTGGCAGGTTATGAGGGGAAGGGCCGGGATTCAATCCCAGAAGGAAACTCCAAAGTCTTTGCTTTCCACCTGACGGCCAGGGGCAGAAAGGGACAGATCAGGCCAGCTGGGGATCTAGGAAAATTCGGGCATCATGGCCCGGTGAAATGCACTTGGTCCAGGAACCCGTCAGCCAAGGCGGAGGAGCCAGAGTGGGCACTGCCTCCCCTAAAGGGGGTCTTGGTCCCCCCTCTTCATTCTGCAGGCTGTGCTCCTCTCGGACGGGGTTGTGGCCACTGGGCCCGGCGGGGGTTAGCAGTACACCTGGAGCAGGGGTGCCCCTGAGGAGTCTGTGTCAGTGCCCTGGAAGGACGAGTCGTGGCTGGCTGGGTATCCTGAGGGGGAAGGGAGGAGGAAACAGAGACTCAGAGTGGGGAAGGGGCTCCTTCTGGTCCCCCGGACAGGGAGAAGCCTGCTGAGAAGGAGCAGTGTGGGGCTTGAGTCTCGGCCAGTCAGATCCTAGGTAGGTGACCCACTCAGTTTCTTGACCTCTAAGGCCCAGCCTTGCTCTCTCTAAAAGGGTAACGACGCTGCTCCCGGGCTTGTTATGAAGGCCAAGACAGAAACCACACCGAGTGCCTTTTCAGCACCCGGCTGGATGGCCTCCTGCCCTCCACTTACCCCTCCCCACCACCCGTGACCTGGGATTAGAGGCTGTGGTCTGATCAGCTCCAGCTTGCCTGTTCTGGGCACCTGAGCCCTGCTGGTGCAGGTTCAGCCCCCTGAATCTCTCCCCACTGAACCCTTGAAGCCAGCTTGAAGGATTAAGATGCATCTGTGGCTTCTCGTCCCTTTCTGATCTCATCCCACCCCAGGAGAAAGCTGGGAGAGGATGGAATGTGGGGGCCCCCGTGGCAGTCCCCTCTCCTCTCCACACTCATCAGGTCAGGACCAAACCTGGGGTTCCGTAAGGCCTCAGCTTCCTGGCGATGGCATCTGCTGTTGTCTCCTGGGAGATCTGCACTGTGAGTTCTAGGAAGGGAACATGAGGGGCAGCAGTCATCATCACATCCTTTTACTCTACTCCCCACTTCTGCCCCTAGCCCAACGAGGGAGGCACCACTCACCCCTGGCCAGGCTAGAGAAACATTTAAAACCAAGACACAGATAGACAACGTGCATGCGCAGTGGTGGGTGGTGGGGATTTTGACTAGGGCAGAACAGTCAGAGACCCCAATTCCTATGGGCTCCTGTCCTGTTAAGCAGGCCAGGCCTGGAAGGTACTCTGGCAGGTGATAGCAAGGACAGAAGGAGCCTGTTAGGGGATGCAGGAGTTGAGAAAAAAAAGAAGAAAAGGAGGAAGAACAGGGACTGGCTGAGGGGTGGACCCGCAGCGGCCAAAGACCCCAGTGCAGCCTTCCCTTGGCCAGAGCCTCCTCCACTCTGCCCCTCGGCCCTGTGGGGCCCCACCTACCATCCTGGCTGAGCCCTGAGCCCACCATAGTCTCATGGCCGCTGTCAGGGGCAGCGGCAGCAGGAGCAGCCCGGGTTGAGCGCCCTTCTGAGGTCTGCGGGCGGCTGCGGCTCTTTCTGGTACTGATGCGAATGATGCCGCGTACCAGGCGGCCCTCAGCATCCTGCTCATCCAGGTGGTAGTCCTGGGTGATGCTGCTGATAAGGTCCGAGATCTTACTGGTCTTCTCCAGGAATACAGTGTCTGATGTGCACTTGGCCAGCTCGTCGATCTGGTGTACGCTGAACAGCTCTGTCAGCTTCTTGAAGATGAGCACATCGATCTCTCGGCTCGACATGGAGCCACTGCCTATCTCAGGCAGGTCCAGGTCCGACTCGTGGAAGGAGTAGTATTCCTCAGAGCCACGGGGGCTGCTGGCAAGGGTGCTCGGCAGGCTGTGCCGCATGGGTGGGGGCTCGGCCAGCGGCTCCTTGCAGCAGGAGTCCGCATCAGGGGCTGGGGAGGTGGTGCTGCGGTAGGGATATACAGGGATGCCTTTGAGCTTGACGTCAGGGTAACTGAAGCTGCTGCCCATGGTTGACTTGAGCCGCTGGCCATCCCGCCGGCTGGGGGGTGCGCAGTCGGGGCTGGGGGGCACTCCATTGTGCTCTTTGGCCCAGTTGACTTCGGCGGCCCCCTCAGTGGAGTCCCCGGTGGACAAGCAGGGGCTGCAGCTTCGCACACAGGCTCCACAGCGCTGGAGGCAACCCCGGCAACGGCGGAAGCAGAAGGCAGCCCGGCACCAGTCCCACACCCAGGGTCGCCAGAGTAGGCAGCAGGCTGGGGGCTCAGGAGCAGGCTCAGCAGAGCCAGAGATGAAGGTAAGGCTCTCGGGCCCATGGTGGCCAGGATCCTTGGGGTCTGGCCTACGGGTGCGGCGGCTTGGTGGGAGCTGAGATGGCTCATCATAGGTCTCCAGGCATAGCTCCGTTGGCTGCTCCCAGGGTCCCAAACGTGGGGGCCCAGATGATGGGCGGGGGTGTCCAGGGTGGGGCATGGCTCATTACATGGTTTGCTGCAGCAAGGCACCTAAGGGGAGAGGCCAGGGAGGAGTCAGGATCAGAGGCCAAGGACAAACTCCTGCTCTGACCTTACGAGCTTCAGACTTCTGGTTTCTGAGAGGCCTGTGATGTGGCCGGGCCCACGTATGCCCACAAACCCTCATCTAGTGTTCTCTCCCTCCCCAAGGAGGAAGTTCTCTCTGTGGTCTAACCTACATGTGAAAATCTCCTAGGACTTCACACCCATTAGAACGACTACTATTGAAAAAAACAGAAAATCGCAAGGATGTGGGGAAGGAGGGGAGTCTTGTGTATTGCTGGTAGGAATGTAGGATGGCACAGCTGCTGTGGAAAACAGTATGGTGGGTCCTCAAAAAATTCAACATCAAATTGCAATATGATCCAGCAATTCCACTTCAAAAGGACTGGAAAACAGGGCTTGAACATATATTTGTACACCAATGATCACAGCAGCATTATTCACAACAAGCAAAGGTGGAAGACAACCCAAAGGTCCATTGATAGATGAACGAATAAACAAAACATAGTGTACACATACAATGAAATATTATTCAGCTCTGAAAAGGAACGGCACTTTGATACATGCTACAACATAGACGAGCCTTGAGACATAATGCTAAGTGAAATAGGCCAGACACAAAAGAACAAATACGTATGGTCCCACTTATATGAAATATCTGGAGTAGTCAAATTTATAGAAACAGAAAGTAGATGGTTGTTGCCAGGGACTGGGGGGAGGGGGAACAGAAAGTTAGTGTTTAATGGGTAGAGCTTCAGTTTGGGAAGATAAAAAAGTTCTGGAGATGGACGGTGGTGATGGTTACACAACAATGTGAATGTGTTTAATGCCACAGGACTGTATGGTTAAGATGATTTTTTTAGAAGTTAAAATGGTCAGTTTTATTTTATGTATATTTTACCACATAAAAAGAAAAATCTCCTGGGACCTCACTTTCTGGGGAATGACCTCCCCCAGTTTCTCCCCACTGTGGTAAGCCCACCCAGCATAGAGCCTTTGAGGCTGTTCAGCAAATGCCTCTCCATGTGACTTGCTACAGAACCTGATAGTTACCATCTTCTCTTTCTTCCCCTCCTCCTTCAAATTAGACATAGGAATGTAACAGTTACCCCGTCAATATTTCAGACTGGCTCAGATTTGTTCTCCTAAAAACATTTAACACCAAGCAGTTCTGCTTCCTTTGATTAGACAAGAAAGCCGAGCCACAATATACATCTTCTTTCCCTTTTTGACTTGGTTGCTAGCAAGCTCAGAGCTAAGTCTTAACTCATTTCATAAACACTGAACTTGGCCCTGTGTTAGGCACAGCAGAGCCAAAGATGAATGAACTACTGACCCTGTTCTTGTGATTCATACATGATTTTGTAGGGAAAGCAGATGCTTAAAAGCTCATAAGTTGGAACATGTATGAGGCATTATCGGAGTAAATAACTGCCAGAGGGAGTCAGGGAATATTATGTAGTGATGTATTGGGTGGGTCCTTGACCATATACAGGGCTTTGCAGGGCACTAACAATCCTTAGCCTGGATTTTCTAAGATATTGATCCCTTATCTTTTTATTCCTGATTTAAGGGCACTGGGGTCCTAGAACTGCTGATGTGTGAGGAACCTGGGACTGGGCATCAGGCTATCTGTGTTCTAGTCCCAGTTCTGGGTCTAATAGGCAATGTGCTTTGAGCAAATCAGTGCCACCTCTCTAAACAGGGCCACCATCATCTCTCACCCAGATACTGTCAAGGCCCCCATTTTGGCCACCTCCATTCCTATTTGCTGCAGCCAGTGAGAACTTAAAAAAAGAAAAAAACAAACAAACCCACAAATCTGGAGAAACCTGGCAAACATCACTTTAATCAAATGATCAAAGTTAACGTCACCAGTAATGGGATGTACTGACATCATATGCCTCCTGATACGCATCACTTATGACGTATTCTGCCCAAAATGCATAACCTGAATGTCATCATGAGGAAACATCAGACAAGCCCAAGGTGAGGGACATGACAACTAAATGCAATGTGTGGTCCAGGATTAGATCCTGGACCAGGAGGAAAAATTGGAAATTGAATAATGTGGATAATTGATGAAATTTAAAAAACGATTGTACATTATTTTATAGTATTATGTCAATGTTAACTTTCCTGAATTTGATTATTATGGTTATATAAGATAATATTCTTATTCTGAGGAAATACACACTGGCGCATTTAGGGATAAAGGAGTATGATGTCTACAAGTTAATCTCAAAAGGTTACCCCCAAATCAGAGGGTGTATGTATGTAGAGAAAGGGAAGGAGGGAATGTTAGCCATGGTTAACAGGGATGAGAAGGACACAGTTCTTTAACTATGTTTGCAACTTTTCAAAGCACTCTCATGGCCCCCACTCAGCACTCCTCCAAGGATCCTTCAGAACCCAAGTCAGATGGGAGCCCTTCTCCCCACAGCCTTCTGCTGGGCTCTCTTCAGCTGGGTTGGCCTTGAACCCAGTGTTTGAAGATAAGCCTATATGACCTCGAGGGGCAGAAACAGTGTGTGACTCCTTTCTGCCTCAGTGTCTGAGCAGGGTTGAGTACAGTAAGTGCTTCAGGGAACTGGCACATTCTGTATGACCTCAGGGTAGAACCAGGGCCATTGGGTGGAAAGAAAAAGGACTTAGGCTCTAGGCTGACCAGAGTGGTGGGAGCAGTGTCTGGAGGTGTGTGTGTGTGTGTGTGTGTGTGTGTGTGTGAAACCCCCTCTCCAAAGGTGTGCAAAATGAAACTGTAATAGTTCCCTCACAGCCCAGAGGGGCAAGTGGTTAAAAAGAAAGAAAAAGGACTTAGGCTCTAGGCTGACCAGAGTGGGGGGAGCAGTGTCTGGAGGTGTGTGTGTGTGTGTGTGTGTGTGTGTATGTGTGTGAGTGTGTGTGTGTGTGTGTGTGTGTGTGTGTGTGTATGTGTGTGAGTGTGAAACCCCCTCTCCAAAGGTGTGCAAAATGAAACTGTAATAGTCCCTCACAGCCCAGAGGGGCAAGTGGTTAAAAACCTTTGCCTTGGGGGCGGCTGGTTAGCTCAGGTGGTTGGAGCGCAGGCTCATAACACCAAGGTTGCTAGTTTGATTCCCACATAGGACCAAGGAGCTGCGCCCTCCACAACTAGATTGAAGACAACTACTTGACTTAGAGCTGATGTGTCCTGGAAAAATATCCTCCACAACTAGATTGAAACAACTACTTGATTTGGAGCTGAAGGGTCCTGGAAAAAACACACTGTTCCCCAATAAAATTTCTTTAAAAAAAAATAAAAATAAATAGTTTAAAAACAAATAAAAACCTTGCCTTGGTTTGAGCAATGTGGTGGTGGGAGTGGGTTAATTTATTCATTCAATTAACAAATATTAACTGAGGGCCTACTATGTGCCAGACACTGTTCTAAATTCTGTGGACAGTGGTAAAAAGACAAAATTCCCTAACCTCAGGAGTTTGCATTCTAGTGAAAGTTAATTATTGATGGCTTATATTGTTCTAAGTGCTTTAACTGTATTAAACCAATTAATTCTCACAACTCTATTTGCAAGTATTATTATTATTACTATACTGAGGCACAGAGATGTTAAATAAATTGTCCAAAGCCACACATCTATTTGTACCCAACCTGCGTGGCCCAGACTCTTATCTACTACCCCATCCCATCTATTACTTGGGAGGAAGGAGGCAGTCAAAGTGGCCAACTGCCAGTTCCATGGACAAGCCCGTGTCTAAGGAGGTCCCAAAGAGGGGGCCCTGAGTCTTCGAGGCTCAGGCCTTGGATGAGGAAGGTGAGCGTATCTACACTGTTTCAACCACACTAAGCTCTGGGGTACCTGTGGTTTGTAAGAACATCAGGGGGTTACTGATGATGGATACTCTAGGTAACTGTCTCCTCTTCCACCTCCAAGGCTTTAGGATTCGCCACTCCTCATTAAATACATCCAACAGATATTTAGTGAGCACCTACCATGTGCCCAGCACTCTGCTAAATGTGGGGAAACAGCAGTGAATGGGCCAGAAACAGGCTCCAGCTAAGAGGACTTTTGCTTTATTTAACACTCACAATTGCCCTGTAAGTATTATATCTCTGCTTTACAGATCAGGACTCTGAAGCTCAGAGAGCTGAAGTGACTTTCCGCCTAGCTGGAAAGGGATGGAGCAGGACTTGTACTGCGGACTGCCAGACTCCAGAGCCCATGCACTTTGCTCTGTGCCACACATTTCGAATGGCAGTGGGATGGAGGAAAGGGGAACAAAATCTGAGGTAAGGACAGTGCCTGGCCTCAGTTTTTCTCTCTCCTCTAAGCCCTGAACCCTTCTGAAGTCAAACAGCCCATTTTTTCTAGGCTATGTCTCTCCCTAGATGCTGCTGCCCCTACCTCCAAAATGCTAGGAACACTGGACATTTAGTTTTGTGAGGGGAGGGCCCCTGCTCTTACTGTAGTCTGGTGCAAGACTTTAGGCCTCAGTTTTCTCATCTTTAACAATGGGAGAGTTGAATATCTTCATGGGCCATGGGAGGTTTAAATGAGATACTGCACGCAGGAGGTTTGGCACCTGGGAGGAGCTAGAATGGGCACCCCAAGGCACTGCAGGGATCTTCCTCTGGGTCCCAGCCCCACCTTCCCCAAACTTCTTATTGATGCTCTTCCCCTCCCCCTTAGTCCCTGAGAACACACACATTCACGGGTCTGTCTCCCTAGCGTCCCCCTCCTCCCAAGGTCTCCAGGACAGTCCCGGCTGCACCGGCCTCTGCCCCACCCCCGTGCTCAGTGGAGTCTTGCACACCCGCCCGAGAGGGACACCCCAGATGAAATAGCCGTCGGCTCTCGCGCCGGGTATCCGTGCACCTTCGATCTCCTGCCCCAAAAGCTCAGCCCGCGTCTCCCGCATCCGCGGGCACTTGGTCCCGGGACAACGGAGAACCAGACCCCGGCACTGCCCCTAACACTAGCACAGCCCTTACACCAGCAATGCCCTGAGGGCGAGCACCACCCTCTCTAGCGGCAGGGGCCCTCCGCCCACCGGCGGACTTGGCCTCTCTCCCGCTCTGACACTGTTCCTCAGGGTGTGCATGGCCCCCGCCCCAGGCCAGCGCAGCCTTAAGGGCGATCACTGCCCCCCTCATCCCACTCTGTTCGCCCGGCCCAGGCGCCAGCTCAGGCCGTCCCCGGCCCGGCCCAGCCCGCGCACCCCGGAAGTGGGAGGGTGGCCCCCAAGGAACCGGCCCCGGGACCCTTCCCCGTCCGGGAGCAGCCTCAGGGGTCTCTACACACTGGTGCCGCCCTTTTTCGCACCCCCTCGGGCCCGCGCGGGGCTTACCTGTCCCGCCAGGTGAGCGGCCTCCGGCTCGGCCCCTCCCCGCCCCCCTCGCCGCTCACCTGGGGCGCGTGTGAGCGTCTCGCGGGAGCGCTGCACGGGCCGCCGCTGGGGACACACTTCCTGCCTCCGCGAAGCGCCGTCGCCGCACACCTGGGCCAAGGCCCCGCCCCAAGTGCTGGGCGGGCACCGTGTCCAGGCCTAGGCGCTCGAGAGCCGCGCTCTGCCTAGTCCAGGTAAGTGAGGCCTGTCGGGCAGAGCGGACAAACTCTAGGGCCCAGTCTCCTCTTCTGTCTAATGGGCAGGTGGTCCTAGCAACTATGAGCTCCTGGGGAGCGCTTGCCAGGCCTTAAAGACCCCGCGCAAAGGGCTTGTCTCCTTGGACGCCTTCCCTGACTCCTAGACCTGTCGGGTTTTCTGTTATATAGAACAGTTCTCTGTACTTTATCATGATACTCAACATACTGTTGTTTTCTTGTTTTCTGTCTCCTCCTTTAGCCTCTGACCATGAAGAGAGGGTCTGGTCTTGTTCCCAATGTTTCCTGGTGCCTAGTGCAGGACCTGGCACATACTAGTAGACGCTCAGCAGATATTCTCAATTGAATGAGCCACTGGCTCGGATTTCTTGCTTTGCCCTGAGGCAGAACTGGGAGCCTTGGTCCTCTGCTGGCTGGTCAGTTCACCATCTCTGTTCTGGGCAATCTGCAGAAGAGAGTACCTGTGTTCTGGGGCCAGGGCTGGGCTCTGCAGTCCTGAGAGACACTCCCTCATCAGCAGAAATGGCCAAAATGAGTCAGGATCATCCCATCTCATGGGATCTCTACAAGAGGCAACATCACTGAGTGGCAAGAAGTTAGGGCTCAGGGCAGGCCGAGTGGCTCAGTTGGTTAAGAGCTCGCTCAATACTAGCATAGTATTATTTAACCCTTCCAGTAGTCTGTGAGGTGGGGCAGGTGTTATTATCTGCATTTTACAGATAAGGAAACTGAGGATTAGAAAGGGCAAATTATTTGCTCAGGCAGTTGGCACAAACTGTGTGACTTAGGGCAAGGCACTTTCCTTCTCTACGCCTCATCTGTGGAGATAATAGTACCTCTCTCCAAATGGGAGAACTAAAAAAAGATAATGGATGCGAAGGAGATAAAGGCTATGGGAAGAGATGACTGGGATGAGGTTTGGTAAGTGGGAGGAATTCAATACTGCCAAGCCCCATTCCCCTCCAGGTGTACCGAAGATATAGGACCTCCAAACCTCAGGCCTCCCTTCACCTCCCAGCCCCGAGATGGAAATACTGCCAATTAGGACAGAGCCCTTTGTCTACCCTGTTTGGGTTGCCAAGCCCTCTCCTTGCCCAGCCAGGGTGGGACACTTCTTAAAAGATGGTTCCTACAGCAACTAGGGGGTTTCTTTCCTTATCTCACCTCTCAGGGCACCATCAGCTCATTGCACAGGTGCCCTACCAAGTGCACACAGTAGGTGTTCAGTTTCCACCAGAGACCCTCCGTAGTGACCCCTCCCACCACATCTTCTCCACCTTCTCACCTGGGGCAAGTGGCATGTTGTGTCCTCATTCGGAGCTCAGAAAGTGAGTCACGTTGTGTACAGTTGAACATTTGTGTACCCTGAGACTCAGCAAGTCATTTCCTGAGGTAGAAGAATTGCACACATGCACGAGGAGACATGTAAAGAATGGAAGTAGAAACATGGTTCACAGTAGCCCGAAACTAAAAACATCCAAATGCCATTGACAGGAGATAAAAAATGAAAAACAGCAATTATGGCTGGATCATGGTGATATAATATTGAGTGGAAAAATGCAAGTCCCAGAAGAGCACACACGGAATGGCATCCTTTTTATAAGGTTCAAATACAACTAGAACTACTATGTTTAGGCATAATATTGGGTTGAATCATATGAAATTCCTGGGTTTTTTTACCTATAAAATCGGCAAACTCATAAGGTTCAGCCTAATTTATGTTAAACTAAAAACAAGAGAATTAGGAACATAAAATTCAGAATTGTGATCACCTGGGGATGGGGTAGCCCATTAGTAGATTTAATTTTCTGTAATGTTCTGGTTCTTGGGTTGGATGGTAGGTTCAAGGACTTTCATTTTTGAATGAATGAATGAAGAAAAAGTAAAAATGTATGCTTTAAATAATGAAGGACACTGTTACTTGCAAAGTTCTCAAGGTAGCAAAACTGTGAGTCTACAGTCTTATTTAGTTTTTCCGCCATTCATTTATTCCTTTTTTTAAGCATTCTTTTTTTTTTGAAGATTAAGGCATAATTTATATATAGTAAAATTCACCTTTTTAGTGTATAGTTCTGTGAGTTTTGAAAAATGCATACAGTTGCATAACCACTACCACAATCAAGATGTAGATCATTTCCACCACGCCCCAAAATTCCCCTAAACCCCTGTGTAGTCAACCCCTCCCCTAACCCCAGCCCTTGGCAACCACTGTTCTTTTTTTTGTCTCCATAGTTTTGTTTTTTTTCCAGAACATGTTTAATTGTGAAAGTGCAGGACTGCACTACAAAGTTCTCATTGTGTGGTATGTAAAATGCTGTAGATTAATAAGTAAGAACATGATGACTGAAGCAGCTTGAAACTGCTTTCTTTACCTAGAAAAGAAAAGCAAAAACAAAGAAGGAACATATGACCTCTGAACCTCTGGCTGTACTTTCTGATGTGTGGGGGAAACTTTCTCTGGAGCCCCAGCCCTGCCTCTCACCAGCTTGTGGCCTTGTGAAAGCCACTTCCCTTCTCCTCATCAGTAAAATGGGAATGATAATATTTTCCTCTCTTGAGTGTTTTCTGGAGTAATCTGCGAAAGTCACAAGTTAACTGCTATTCTAACCACAGCCACACTGAAACCTCTCTCCTTCTCTGCCCCTCTCCCTCCCACATGCAAACACACTGGACCCTGTGTATTCCCCCACCACAGTACATACTGAAAAACTCCATAAAAAAACCAATGACACTCTAGGTATATACCCCAAAGAATTGAAAACAGGGACTCAAACAGGTATTTATGTGCCAATGATCACTGCAGCATTATTCACAATAATCAAAAGGTGGAAACAAGTGTCCATCAACAGATGAAGGGATAAACAAAATGTGTATTACATACAATGGAATATTATTCAGCCTTAAAAAGAATGATGTTCTGATACATGTGATAACATAGATGAACCTTGAAAACATTATGGGGCCGGCTGAGTGGCTCAGCTGGTTAAGAACTCACTCAAGAGTGTGAGCTCTGAACAACAGGGTCGCTGGTTCAATTCCTGAGCTAAGCTGTTGCTGAGCTGCCAACAGGTGGCAGGTTGGCTCAGCTAAAAAAAAAAAAAGAAAGATATTATGCTAAGTGAAATAAGCCAGACACAAAAGGACAAATATTGTGATTCTACTTATATTAAATATTTAGAGTAGACAAATTTATAGAGACAGAAATTAGTGGTTACCAGGGTCTGGAGGGAGGGGGGATGGGGGGTTTTTGCTTAATGAGTGCAATAAAAATTGGTGATGAAAAATTTTGGAAATAGATAATGGTGATGATTGCATAACAGTGCAAATGTATTAATGCCACTGAATTGTACACTTAAAGATGTTTAAAATGGCAAACTTTATATATATATATATTTTTTGGTTTGTTTGTTTGTTTGTTTGTTTGTTTGTTTGTTTGTTTTAACACAATTTTAAAAACACAAGGTGGGCCGGCAGAGTGGCTCAGTTGGTTAAGAGCTCACTCAAGAGTGCGAGCTCTGAGCAACAGCAGTTCGATGCCCGGCCCGAGCTGAGCTGCCACTGAGCTGCCAACACAGGTTGGCAGGATGACTCAGCTAAAAAAAGCAAAAAACAAAAAAACCCCACAAGGTAACTTATGGGTCCATCAGCATTCAGCATAACAAAGGAAAAAAGTCTACTGGAGTGAATTTTTGAGATATCAATCTACTTCTCCTGTGCACTTCCCTTTATAGCTTACAAAGCAAACACTTTTTTTTTCTTAAGAAATTTTATTGGGGAACAGTGTGTTTTTTCAGGACCCATCAGCTGCAAGTCAAGTAGTTGTCTTCAATCTACTGGGTTGTCGGAAAAGTCATGACGCATTTTTGCAACGAAAAACATAGAAAAAATACATCATGACTTTTCCAACAACCCAATAGTTGTGGAAGGCGCAGCTCCTTGGCTTGGCCCATGTGGGAATTGAACCGGCAGCCTTGGTGTTATGAGCCTGTGCTCTAACCACCAGCGCTAACCAGTCGCCCCAAAGCAAACACTTTGTAATTTGATCCTTACAGCAGCTCTAGGTAGGCATATTCACTTTACAGATGGGAAAACTGAGGCTCATCGAGGTGCCAAGGCCCTACTGTGACTGAGTAGTGGAGCTGGGTGGAAAGTCAGTCCTTCTGGCTCCCAGTACAATGCTCCTTACTGTGCCCTCCCCCCAGCTACAAGGCTGAGTTTGGGCTTCTTTCTAAGCAGAAAGGCCTGCCTCTAACCAGAGCCACCCAGCTCCGTGTTACCTCTTGGCTGTGACTGGGGGCCATTGTCCTTATCCTTTGCTTCCACCACTGTTGCTCTGCTGTGTTCAATGTTTACTCTTCTGGTCTTCTTCCTTGGCCACCATTCAGGTTCCTGGGCTTGGGGGATGGGGGTAGGGTGGGGGGGACAGGGGGTGTGTGTCAAGGATGGCTGGGGCTCTGGCTTGTGCTATTGGATGGATGGAAATGACTGGGGAGGACAAGTTAGGGTATAAAAGTGTAACCTTGGTGTTGAATCTGAGGACTTGTGAGATAGCCAAGAAATATCATTATTGTACATATGAGTGACATTCAGAGTGATATCTACAAGCTATAAGACCCGCAGCTTGGGGCATGGGGAGGAGCAGGGGGTCAGGAAAGTCAGGATCCGTGGATGTCTGTCTGCTCCTTGCCTCTGGCGTGCTTCTTCCATAGGGGGCAGTAGGGGGCAGCACGCAACAGC